TGACAAGATCAATTACTAGAGTTATTATGGGAAGGTGGGGGGGAAGAAGAAATAAGCTTCTTTTTTTCCTTTCCACTCTCAAGGTTCATAATAACAAAAAGGATCTTGAAAAGGAAAGAAAAATAACAAGATATGCACTTTCTGCACGTAGCTTAAATTGGCATCTTTGTCCAGCTTTAGATGGGCTGTTAAAACTTTTTTTCCTATTCCGCATGCCTTTTAAATAACTTCAAATGTATTCTTTTTGCTTCAAGGGAAATTTTTCCTATTGTTTTGCTTTGGTTGGTATCCCAGGTTTTACACTGTTTTAAAGTTTTCTATTGTGAAGTTGCCTAGAAAAGTCTTTTTGGGATGAAAAGGCAACTCAGTAATTTATTTATGAATAAATGCACTTATTAAACCTGGTTTGGGCTTTGTTCAAAAATGCTCTGCAACACATACACTCAATACTGGCAAAGAACCGAAGTCTCTTCCTTTCATGGAAAGCTACAGAAAGATGGAAGAAACCACATGTACCAAAACTGGCTCAAGACATTTTTTCAAAGCCAATGTTCTCCTTTCCATCAAGGAGCACAGTACCCCTCCCTTATAGTTAAAATAGAATTGGTTGTCATTTCACAAGATCCTAAGTCCACTTCCCCAAATGTAAGGTCAGCCCTGAGATGCCCAAGGTATATATAGTTAGTAAACAGTTCTCTCAGTGAACAAATGAGTCCTATATGAATATGACTGGCTGGAGTAAGACTGTGATAAATCCAAATCCCCCTATGCTTTTTTAAAATCTGCATGTACTCATTAAATACCTTCTGCTGAATTACTTGAAACATTCCAAACTATTGAACAATCTCAAACAGCTGCTTCAGGTCTGGTTTTTAACAAAGAAAGTGAGGGAAGAGGGGAAAAAAATGAGAAATTAAACAAAAATTAAATCTCCCTTCAGAAACATAAAATAATTCACATATTCCCAAGCAAATTTTATTGTTTATGTATTAAATTTGAGGATTTCCTCCTTCAGTCAAATTCCTAAACTGTGTACCATAATACTAAAAAGCGGTCTTCATCGCACATTTATAAAAGAAGCATGAAAATAACACAAAAGGCAGAGAAAAGATCCCTAATGGAAGTAGAGCAGGGGTGTCAAACTGCCGTCCCGCGGGCCAGTTTCATCATAACGAAGCCATACCCACCCCATTGCCAGCAATGCAAAAGGAGTTGCGATATGTCGGGACATGTCACATGACAAGTTTGACACCCGTGAAGTAGAGTCTCTTTTATGACAGTTCTGGAGTAATTCTACATCTTCTAAGGATGACCATAGTTGCCAAATATGATATGGTCAGAGAGGAAAAAAGGATGAAAAATGCAGAATGATAGGATGCAAGAGAAAATCATTTCTCCACCCACTTAATAAAAACATATTTCTGACAAACTAGTGACTATGATATCACCACTTGGACCATGTCCAAGTCATAATGATCTGTGTAATGGAATGATGCGATTTGTATATACAATATCTGAGCAAACATCTCCTCTTCTGAATTCCAGCTGGAACATGCAAAATCTCCATGGCTCTAGGACTACAATCCATCCTTTTATTGGTCTTCCACAGTTTTTGCTTAAAACTCTCAATGTAGTAAGCTTAACAAAGTTATAACCTTAATTTGTCAGAAGAAAAACTTGCAATAGAAATATTAGATTCCAACACAGAACATATTTTTGATATCCTTCACAGGTAAGAGAATTTGAGCACATTTTCAAATTTTAGAACCACATAAATTAAGATTGCACTTTAATGTGCTCCTTAAATAAATAAAATCAATTTTAGCCCTCAAGTGTACATCTTTCCTTGAAATCACAGAAAAATGATTCCATAGCTGTTACACCATTTCATAATTGTGCTAACTGTTACACCTATTACTCAAGATCAAGAAAATCTGGGCAATTACTCTAATTAAAATTGTGTATACTTTGAAAATAGTTTGGAAGAGGTCCTTGGGCTTCATGAACTTATTGCACATGTTATTCATTTAAGCAATATAACTTTTTTTAGCTAGAATGCTGCTGTTTTAACAAACTGAATCATCAAGGTAGCACATTTTCAACATGACTTTTAAAGCAGCTGTATCTTTTTCTTGAGTTCACAAAAAAGCTTGAGGAAAAAAAATGGGACACTCTATTGCAGAGGGATTCGTTCAATACTTGCAGGAGGTTTGAAGTACTTCCTTCAAATTGTTTTTGAAGTATATATAAAACCCAGATTACAAACACGTTATTTACAATTTTGCAAACAATTCTGCTCTGTTTTCTAATCTTAAGACAATAAAAACCAAGGTAACCTGGTATCTTCTAGGTATTTGGAACTTTGGCTCCACAAACCTTGACTATACATGTAGTCTTTAACTTACGACTACAACTGAGCCCAGAATGTCTGTTGCTAAACAAGACACTTGTTAAGTGAATTTTGCCCCATTTTGTGACCTTTCTTGCCACAGTTATTAAGTTTAAAATTTATCACTGCAGTTGTTAAGTTAGTAACATGGTTGTTAAATGAATCTGGCTTCCCCGTTGACTTTGCTTATCAGAAAGTTGCAATAGGTAATCACATGACCCCAGGACATTGCAGCCCTCATAAATATGAGTTAGTTGCAAAATGTCTGAATTTTGATTATGTGACCATGAGGATGTTGCAGTGGTCATAAGTGAAAAATGGTCATAAGTTACTTTTTTCAGTACTGTTGTAACTTTGAATGGTCATTAAATGAACTGTTGTAAGTGAAGGATTATCTATACTTTCCCATTAACTATGATAAGAGTTGAAGTCCAAAATATCTAGAAGGCAGCAGATTGCCTGTCCTCTTGAAGAATTTTAAAACTTCAGTTTACATTTTCTGCAACAGATCTACTATATCAATTTAGTCTGCTGTTGTCCATTTTAAAAAACAACAACAATGTGAATGAATGATTTTTTTTCTTCTCTTTTTTTTTGGCAGCTTCACCCTTCCTTCTTCTAGTCCCATGGAAGCAGCCGGACTTACTGGGAGTTGTGAAAAAACTTGAATAAGCATCATTACTCATCTGTTAAATTTTGCCTTTTCTGGTTGGGAGGAAAAAAACCTTGCTCTTCCCATCCTCCAACTTTTTAAAAATGGATGAAGGCCAGGCACCAGCTGCAGAAAATCTTAAAGAGATCTGCTCCCCTTTTCCCAAGGTGTGGGAGGAAGAAGTTTTTGTCCAAATAATTTGTGAGCGGGAAAACAAAGGCTATCTATTGGGGGGAGGGGGGTTTCAGAAGATTTGCAAACTGCCCTGTTCAACTTGTGACATTCACAGTAAGATCTGAAACCTTATAGGCATAAGGATAAAGCACCTGGCATGGTTCTTGCATTAAGGGGTATGCTGTAGGCTGCATATATGCAAAATAAAGGTATCCTGAGGCTTCACAGTCAATAGATTTTGGTTGGCAAAATGCTGTTAGTCTTCCTAACCCTTTTTAAATGTGCCATTTAAGCTAATTAAGGGCCCCAAAGCCACTTAAACCTTTGCATATTTTCATTCAAAGCACATTATGAGCATATTTTAACTATTGCAGTATATATATGGCTACTAGGAAGATACAGTCAAGGTAGAGAGAGAATATTTAGATGTTCTATATAGCCATGCAGACTGAGAAAGAATCAAGAATCTGGTTACCTTTGAATGGCTGGAAACTATAATAATTAGACTTTAGAACAGAGAACTTTGACAATAGTCAGGATTTTGTGTTTTTTTTTAAAGTGAAAGCTGCTTTCTGCTTATTAACCAATTTCAGTACCATTTATATGTTTTCTGCTTCAAAATGATGAGAATCCATTTTGAAATAGTGCAGAACACATAAAAAGTTACACTCAAACACTTTTTAAATTACAAATACTTAAGTCACATAAATCTTTTTAATGAAAAAGATGGAAGAGCAATCCTGCAAAAATTTCCATTTAGCTGTTCAGCACCTGCATCATCTGGATCCTTTAGAAGTTCAGAATGATATCAGTTCCAACGTAAACTAATGTAGAAACACTTGTGTTCATCTTAAGTCCTTTTATTATAAATACCAGTAATATTAAACCATATATTTTAACACTTCCCAGACTTGCATTCATCGTGAGCTCTCAACAGCAACATTTTTCTCCATACGAACCCAGTAGTCAGACAAAATTAAACCATGGACTTCATGATTTTATGGTGAAGGATATGCGGTGTATTGGACTTTACAAAGCCATGCCTTTTTGTTTATTTATCCAGGCAAAAGAACAAGCATCTATAATGACATATATGATTATCAGTCTAGCTCCTAGCTAGATTTTTAAACCAGGGGTGTCAAACTCACAATGTCACATGACGTGTCGCGACATATCATGACTTTTTTTTCCATTGCAAGCAATGGGGAGGGCGCAGTTTCAGCATGACGCATCCGGCTCATGGGCCAGCAGTTTGACACCCGTTTTAAACCATGAAACAGAAAAAATACTGAGGCCCAGCTGCTCCTGCTGTCTCCATCCTCTAATATTCTGCTATTCATATGGGTCTTTTCTGGTTTATTCAGCTCTGGAGTTCATCCACAAAGCTCAGCTATCAATACATCTTGTACAAATTTGTCCCCAGGAATCTAGACTGATTGTAGCAGCCACTCCCCTCTATCCCAAAGCGATATCCATAGTTGGAGATCAACCAAGATGAGCCAGACACTCCTATTATTCAGGAATAACTGCAATTTTTACATGGAAAGCATTAACTTTTGAAGCCAACTTCAGCGGGAGCCAAGAAAGGAGAAATATACATCACAGATGTCTCAGCTCCAGAACTCTAATTGTGCAGAAGATACATTTCTGCCTTTTGAACCCAGGAAGAGATGCCGTCACTACTCTAGGATTTAGGCAACCGTTGAAAACTGGCTTTAAGGACAGATAGGTTGGATAATAGTTTGCCTAACAGGTAAGGCAGAGAAATAGGAGGCAGCTGGTTACCTGAGCTTGTCTGCTATAAATATCACCCGTCTCTCCAACAGCAAGGAAGCAAAGACTCTGCTTAAGTGCCTGATGCTAAGCGAGGAGAACAAAGACTCAAAATCAACATGTTCGAGTCTTGAATCAAGTGGTCGACACAGCTCTATAACCTGAAACAAAGAATGCAGTAGACATACAAGATGTAAAATCAACTCAGAGTTAGTTCTGACCTGAGCATCCTATAAGCCCTATTATTAAATCTGTAAATAGGGGGAGTAAGACTCTGAGAATACCAATTTCAGCCTTTTCAGAATTGTGGGCCACAATTTGTTTTGTAAATTTGCCTTACTCAAAAGACCCCCCCCCTCACTTTTCTGTGTATTTCCACGTTGGAATCTTGTACCAGGAAGTAAACAAATGTGCTGATTCCTAACTCCACATCTTCAGAAAGCAGTTAATTGAGGGACCCAAAGGGAAACACATACATGGGAAGTTGCAAGCATGCAAGTTTAGCTACTTCATCTATTTTTGAAGGGTGGTTCTATTTAGATTAGACTATCAGGACTTTAACTCTCAGAATTCCCCAGCCAGCATTACTTCTGTTCCAGAACCAGGCAGGAAGTTCTTGATGGAGATAGTCCGACCCAGGGCTGGAAAAGGAGCTTCCATGACACTCCTCATGAGCGGCTGGACCAAGGCAGGCGAAATGCCACGTCTTTTCTCAACCTCATCCAAGATCTGAACGACAGAGAAAGAAGAAATACAAGGGAGGAGACCAAGTATTTTGCTTCAGGAACCTACTCCTTTTCTCTCCTCTTGCAAGCTTTTCATTGTTGTCATATCATTATTTGATGCCACACAAAACTATCAAGCATCAGAATCCCAGAGTTACTGGTGGGAAGGGCCTCTCTCTCATTTAGACACTAGTGCTGTTGTTGTGTTACTATTTCTCCTTCAAGTTAAGTAAATAGCTGGCGGGTAGGCATGGGAAGGCATGGGTGGGCATGCTTTTCTGTCCAGACAATATACCCTTGAACAATATGACCCCCCCCAACTGCTATTTGTTCTCAGCTATGAAACTTATTTAGCAAGTCTGGGAGCAATTTTAAAAATTGGAAATTGTACAAATAAAAAATGATGAGATTATGGTCTCCATCCTCCAGAGGATACTTTTCTGATCCAAACTGCCTCTCTGGGTGGCTCTTTTCTTTCTCTTAAAAAACAAACAGAAGGAAATGCTAATCACAGATCTCTTGCAGTATCTACTTTGGCTTCTAACTGTGGCAGAAGAAGAAAAATGCATTTAACGTGCTTAAAAGCAGAAACAAGTGGCCCTTCATAAAAGCACTTGAGTGAGATTTGACAACAGCAGACAACTGTACTGAATTATCAGTCGGGACCAGGTTTTCATCCTTGTTTGGAGTTGCACTTCCAATGGGCAATGTGGATCAGTAAACTGATCAGGGAAGGGTCTCCCTCCTCCTCTGTCCCTACCCACTGTGGGGACAATTTGCATGGTCCTTCTCCCTCACCTTCGAGAAGAGGTTGAAACACCCCAAGCGGCTCACAATGCAGTAAACTTCTGGAAGACGTTTTCCTTTCCCACTGGGCTTTCAAGAGAGACAGACACAACACAGATACACAGAAACAGACAGTGATGAACAAGAAGAAACCAAAGTCATGATGATCTCCTATTCCATGCATAAAGCAATTCTTCCAACCTAACTTACTATAGGTAGTCTTCAACGTACGACCACAATTGAGCCCAAAATTTCCATTGCTAAGCGCAGTTGTGCCTCATTTTATGACTTTTTAAAACCACAGTTGTTAAGTGAATCACTGTAGTTGTTAAGTGAATTTGACTTCCCCCACTGACTTTGATTATCAGAAGCTGGCTGGAAATGTTACAAACGCTAATCATATAAACCTGGGACAGTGTAACCATCATAAATACATGCCAGTTGCCAAGCAATCATATTTGATCAGGTGACAAAGGGGATGCTGCTAGTTGTAAGTATGAAAAGCCATCATTCCATTTTTTTTTTCAGTGCCGTTGTAACTTCTAACAGTCACTAAACAAATGGTGTGAAAGATGAGAACTACCTGGACACTTCTGAGGCACCTATTTACTAATTTACAGTTATCCTATTATGCTAGATTAGGGATAGGCAACCTTGGCTCTTTTATGACTCATGGACTTCAACTCCCAGAATTCCTGAGTCAGCATGGCTGGCTCAGGAATTCTGGGAGTTGAAGTCCATGAGTCATAAAAGAGCCAAGGTTGCCTACCCCTGTGCTAGATTGTTTTCAATAATTCTAATCCAAGGCGAATTTCTCTACAAAATAACCCCAGCAAATTGCAAAAGATTGACTAAGTACCGCACTCTGTTAAAACAAAACAAAAATATCATTAATTTCCTAGATACATGATTTCAAATATTCCATAACAGTGAGAAGACAGTTAAGAGAGTTTGGATTCGGCTACAAAAAGAAAACTATGATTCAGCAATAATATCAGAGGAGGCCTGTGAGACCATCCTACCCAATTTTTGAAGAAGAAACTAGATAGTTACCAGTATTCTTCTACAGTACCCAAATCTTCGGCTGCCATCTTCACTAGTCAAGACAAATGAAAATGTCTCACTGAAAAAGAGAAAGTTTTAAAGAAACTTTCTTCAATTACAAGGTTATCTTCAATTCTAGAAAATATGCATATAGATGTTAAAAAGAAAAGAAATTATGTACGTTTTTAAGTACGCATGCATCCTTTTCTTTTTATATGCCTATTAGAACAATATAAATAAGCCGCCTGGGAAAGCCAAGGGAAATCATCAAAATAATTAAAAAACGAAAATTAGAATATTTCGGACATGTGATGCGACACCCAGAAAAATATGGCATACTCCATTTAATCCTCCAGGGAAAGATTAAAGGCAAACAAGGTCCAGGCAGAAGAAGAACATCATGGCTTCAAAATCTAAGGGACTGGTTTGGACAAAAATCAGCAGCACTTTTTCATGCGGCTGCTGATAAAAACAGGATTGCCAACATGATCACCAACGTCCGATAACAGATATGGCACAAGAAGAAGAATAAATATTGTACTGCCCCTCCTGTTCATGACAAATATGCATGACAAATATGCCAACATCCCAACTAAGGTTAAGATGAAGGAAAGTAATCATAATTCTTTCATCTCTTTGCTTCTTCTAAGTAGGATCAGGATAATTATATGGCCCTCTATCTGCATATAAGTAACTTTTGGGTCAGAATAATTATTTCTGTTTTACGTATTCCTTCCTTTTTTATTATTTATTTCTCTATTATGATTACATTCTGTCTTTTTTCCAGGAACTCAAGATAGTTTTCTATTAGAGAGGCACTAATTCTGCTATGCATATCTACTAATTGAACTTCCCTACTAGCCCTTAGTCACAGTATAAAATTGCCCTGGCAATATATTTTTTCCTGTTATTCTTCTATATTATTTATTTAATTTATATACTGTCCATCTCACTGTTTGGGGCATCTCTAGCTGGTTGTTTTTGATTCCATCTCATTTCCAGTCTATAAATGAGATAGGATTAAGTTGTCCTTATCTGTACCAAGGCCAAGCACCCAAATTTTGATCGCAGGGCCCTGGCGCTGCTGCAAGAGCCATCACTTTGGGAACCAGCTATTAAGTACCATTTGTGCAGTGCCACTGTATCTCTGGTCACTGAATGAATGACTGTTAAGTGAGGATTACTTGTACTCATATTGGGGAGGGGGCGCTCAAATGTATAGTATGTAAAAGTTATACTTAAAAATATTTGGAATAATAAATGTCATTTTAAATGACATAAAGTAATCATATTTTATGCTCACTTTATGGTATACTTGTGTGTTGGGGGGGGCATGTTCTGTTTTGTGACTTCAAGTTGTTTTGATTCCTATTCACTGCATGAACAAATCCTTGTAATTTTCTGAGCAGCATTTTTCAGAAGTAGCTTGTCCTTGCCTTTTTTTTTAGGGCCTAGACATAGTGACTGTCACAAAGTCACCCGGCTGTCTTCTGGGTCTAAGGTAGGATTAGAACTCATGGTCCCCTGGTTTCTCACCCAGTTCCTTTAACCACTGTGCCACTATTCTTTCGTTCGTGGTCAGGCATGCCTTCGAATTAATCTTGACCACTGGCAACTTCATAGACAAATTCATGCAATTTTCTTGGCAATGTTTAGATATATGTATGCAGTTGTAATCATTTAATATTGCAGTTTTTGTACAGATTATAAATAAAGACTATTTTTAAATTACAACTACTAATTTTGTGACTAATTCTGTAGCTTTCATGTTGCACCTTGCTTCGGTCAAAGACCAAATAAGAATTGATTGGATGACTGAATAAATTCATTGATTCCCTAAATATTTCTGAACCACTAGTTTTGTGTTTATTCTTCAGTTGTTCATGCTCAGGGATCTTCAAACTTGGCCCTTTTATGACTTGTGGACTTCAACTCCCAGAATTCCTCAGCCAGCATGCCTGACAAGTTTGAAGATCCCTGTTCATGCTGAAATCAAAATTTATTTTGACTGTTATCATAAAAGCAATCTTGTATAAATAAAGCTAACATTATGAGTAGTGGCAGGTTAGCAGCTGGCCAGAAGGGAAGAAAGGAACCATCCTTTAACTTGCCTGTTAAACTGAGAAACAGGAGTCCAGTCTTTTGCATCAGGGAAGCAAAACTGTGGAATGGCCTTTAGCTGGTCCTCTGCCTCCCTCATGAATTTGAAGGAACGTTCAAGCTAGCAGAAGAAAGGGAGGAAGAGAAGTTTTTACCAGTAATTATTTAGGTAGAAATAAAATTGCATGATTTTTTTTCTCCTCTCTCCATTTACCTTGCTTCCTAAATAAATGAAGGAGTGATGACATAGAAAATATATCCGTCTGGAGGATATTAACATAGCTGTTTGCCTAGTTCAGCAGATCTTCATCTAACAAACATCTCTCTCCCTCCCTCCCTCCCTCCCTCTCTCTCTCTCTCTCTCTCTCTCTCTCTCTCTCTCTCTCTCTCTCTCTCTGTATGACTTAGGCAATCAGCCTTCCTCCCCATGCCCCTATTTACAGACAAATCTTGATAATTCCCTTGTCTTGCAGATTTCCTCTACCTTTTAGCTACTTATTACACCAATGCTAACATCCTTATTTTTAGAATTACATTCTGTTGAGAGTTATCAAAAGACAAAGCAAACTGTCTCAGATCTGGTAGGGAATAAACAATGTAAAGTCACAGGCTGCATACAGTTCCCAGTGTTTATTATGAGCACAATTCTTAAATCAACAACACAGATTTGCTCATTTTCAGGAAAGAGACATAAAACCTGTAATTGAAATCCAGAAATAGACTCAGCATTGTTTTAAGAAAGTAGTCAGCAACAAATTCACCTTAAAACATAAGGATAAATTGGAAAGTTCTAGTTTATTCACTTGCTTCCCTGCCCTGTCTTTTGTGACTATCAGTCTCCCTAAAAATGTTGTGGACCCTGGCTGCCCACCTCTGGGTAGGTCAACCTCCCTAATATGGTATCAACCAGATGAGTTTCATCTTTTAGAATCTTAGCCAACAGAGTACAGCACGCCTTCCTTTGCTTCTCTCTGAACAGGCATTCTCTATCATAAGTCTTACCTTTAAAGGAAACTGCTGGGTAACTTCGGGGACATATGGTACGCAAGCTTGCTTCTTGTGTAATGACACTACAACAAAATATTCAAAGAGCTGCCTCTCTTGATACTCAATCAGATCTCTCTCCAAGATATGATACTTGGGGGCTTGCTTCAGGCGAGATTTTACATGAACAAGGCGTTGACTGTGAGCTACACAAAAGGTAAGCCAACAAAATCAACACAACTGTTTTGGGTGCAGCTCCCACAGCAATTAGAAGTTCTGTCTCACTTCAAACTACATATTCACCAGCCTTTCTTAACCTGGTCATTCTCCAGATGTGTGGACATCATTATGAAGCATTCTCAGGAAGGACTCTGTAGGATGATAATCATAAGTGCTGAAACCCACCCAACTGAAGGGCACCAGAGTTCAGAAAGGCCGACCTAAATATTCTGGAACTATGTCGTGTTGTAACCAGGATATCAAAACATTCTGAAACATTATACAGAGAGAATCAAGATAAAAATGCATTGTTGTTACTTGGTTGATATGACTTTTTTATATAGAAAACGAGAGAGGAGAGCACATAGCTCAAGAGTTGGAAATATGCAGGATCACTCTTGAAATAGCCAGACTTGAACAACCTTCAGTAAAAACAGCATAGTCTGGGAAAGAAGTGGCATGTTCTAGAGTGGTAGCATATATCAATTATTAAATATAAGGATATCAGATTTCATCATACTTGCAACTGATACAATTGCAGTTTATCCACATAACTGCACAGAACCTCAGTTTTACCTATAAAATCTATAGTCCAAAACACAATCATTTGAGCATATTTCCCAAGCTAGAACTTATGTTTGGATTGCAAATCCCAGAATTCCCAGCTACCATGGGCACTGGCTAAACTGCTTGGGAATTTTAGGACTTGTGGTGTGACACCGTCTGGAAGGCTCCAGGTCTGGAAAAGCTGCATTAGGATATAAAACTCATTAAATATTGACTTCTGAGTACACATTTTAAGGACTGGGTTGTATATTGGATAATGAACCTTTTTAGGGTCATGAATGTTCATGTAGTCATCATAACAAATAATAATTCACTTTTGCAATAACCGAACGCCTATACAGTCATAAAACATACCCTGATATTTTTGGGCAGGAAAAAAAATTAGAAGGGGGAAAACCCACAACTTTCAAGCCAAGAATCAATAACCTTCTCTAAAGTTCATCTCTCAATTGATACCTCTTTGTTTTTCTTCTGTGTCACTGTCTGATTCACTATTTTCATCTGTAACTAGGAGGAAATAGAAAACAACAGTAAATATCACTTTTCTAAAAAAAATAATTATTGTTTTCTGAATAGCAGGCAAAACCTAGAATGTATCATGAAATCAGTTCTTTTATACCCCCAAAAGTAGGATGTCTGGTTGGGGTGGCCAGAAGATAAGTCAGGAACTACTAAGAAATTTCTAGAAAACTGCAGTAAATCATTTAGATTTTTGTTTACTGGGAGCAACACCAAACATCACCAAAATTAGGTTACTAAAATGAAGAAAGATTGGAAAATGGAAGGAGGAATCTTATATGAAAGGACAACAAGCTCAATTTGTAGTTGGAAAAATGCTCAGAAAGTAGCCAAAAAGCAATGTTTTTGCACCTTGCTTTGGTTAATGAAAGATGGATCCTACTGTAAAAGATCAAGTGGAACAGTTTAAGTCTGAAGTCCGAAAACTCAAATGTATCATGTAGTAGTACTAACTAGGATATAGGGCATGTAGTACTAAATATTATAGAAAAGAGGCAACTGGGGTAGTAGCATCATATCCTTTATAACTGGCTGTTATTAAGGAAATCCCTTTAATATTGAACAATACTGAGTAGGCCCAGGTCAAGTTGTCCAAAAAACCACTGGTCCAGCAACAGGCTTTCCTTACCTCTCCCTGAGCTGGACTCTGTAGACTGTGACAATCTCTTGACGCGCTTCTTCCCTCTTCGAGCCTCATAAATGGCATTGATTTTTAACACCAGCTGCTTAACATAAAGAAGAAAAAATAAATGCTTTCTTCTTTCCACAAAACCATCATTTTTTAAAAATGATGTCCATATCATTTTATCTACCAAGGTAATTACAGGTAGTCCTCAACTTATGACCACAACTGAGCCCAAAATTTCTGTTGTTAAGTGACCAATTAAGTGAGTTTTGCCCCATTTTATGACCTTTCTTGCCACAGTTGTTAAGTGAATCACTGGAGGTGTTAAGTTAGTAACACAGTAGTTAAGTGAATCTGTCTTCCCCATTGACTTTGCTTGTCTGCAGGTTGCAAAAGAGAATCACAGGACCCCGGGACGCTGCAACCGTCATAAATATGAGTCAGTTGCCAAGCATTTGAATTTTGATCACGTGATCATGGGGATGCCACAATGGTCGTAAGTATGAAAAACGGCCATAAGTCACTTTTTTCAGTGTTCTTGTAACTTCGAATGGTCACTAAACAAACTGTTGTAAGTTGAGGACTACCTATATTTTCTTATTTCCATTCCAATCCTTCAACTGCTCATCCTCCCTCCTCCTCTTATTATCTTTCCGTGTTGATAGTTTTTTCGTGAAATTCTCCCATAAATTCAGATTGTTAAAAAAGTAAAATAGCATGCACTTGCATAGATAATCAGGAAAGCAAAATTATTTGGAAGTATTTGCCTTGTTCAGTTGACAATTGCTTCAAAGATTCAGGAGCTCTTAAAATTATATGACAAGAAAGCCTTGTTTGTCACAATATAACCTCCAGCTGATGTTTAATGTTATTTTTTTTATCAATTTTAATAATTTGGTGTCTACATTGCTCAATTTGGGGAGGTAATGTATATACTTAATTTTAAAAGGGCTCTCCTCTCAAAATTCAGAGAATTTTCAGGACTACTTAGGTGAAATTAATACTTTATTCCCTTAAAATAACAATTTCTGAACACTGCTTCTAATTCTTCACAGTCTTTTCTAAGTCACCCAAAAAATATTTAAAGAAAAAAAATACCTTGGAAATTTTCCTTCTTTTCTTGCCATTTTGAGAATCACCCAAGGAGAAGAAAGTGTCATCAGGACTGCTAGGAGTGGAAGGGGGGCTGATTTTGGAAGGAGAATAAGTCCCATCCCGAGTTGGTTTCCGTATGTCTAATAATTTGAAACTTCTACGTTCTGAGTTCTGCCTAAAGAAGATGGGCTTAGAGAGGACCTAAAGAGACAGACCAAAATGGGGGGAAATGGGGAGCATCAGACACGGCCTTTATCTCTATTTTTTTTCTTAAAAAAAGAGTCTCTAATGTTTCAACATAAAAAACATTAAAACATTAGTTGTCAGAATTCTTGACTGGTTATTAGTGCCAACAATCCTTAACATTTGCTTAGATTTTTTTTCATAGGGTTATCTAGCAGGTCAATAGAAATATATATATTCCACAATGGTTTGCTGAGAAATCTCATTACCATGATAGAAACAGTTCTTATTGCTTGCACAACTAGCTTTCAGGAGCTCTATGGAACTGAGCCAACAAAACTAATCAGCGAAGCAACCACAGACACTTGGATTGGAAAATTAAGAAGCTATTGTACCACATCAGACCCAGATGTTATATGGCCCAATACTCTTGTCAGCCAGTAATCATCACCAGTGGCTTCAGAAGCTAGTTTAAGCAACCATACAATTGCATATTTATGAGCCATGAATTTCTTGACCCTGTTATTTAGCTATTGATTTTATCCAGTAAAACAACAGAATGGTCTGGCATTTGTTCATGAGTTTCTTAGAACACAGTAGGTCAAATCTTAGCTTTGGGCACAAGAAAACCAATTTCAAATTCTGGCTGCTGGAAAAGCTGAGATAAAGTTGTTGTGAGAGCATAAAGCAAAATCAGGGTTACAAAGCAACCCCAGGTATTGATTGCAACTACAGCAACTGTGACTTTCATTTTTAATTCTCGAAAGACCAATATGTTGAAATAAGTTCACTGTTAAGTGAAATTCTCTCTTCAATGAGCAGTAATAGAAAACCTATTAAGTGCTAACTGCATAATGAATCATACTACTAATTAGCTGGTTCCCATTTGCATTTTTTACAGAATGCAAGCAATAAATAAAACACTTTTTCCGTGTTTGTGAGATAATAAAATCTCCTTGTAATGACCCAGCTGTATTTCTAAATGCTTTTAAAAAGTAAAGCGGAACTATGATTTGATGGAAGTAGCTATACAATGAAGATGAAGAGGAATTGTTTCTATTTTTATTTTTTCAAATAGCCATCCACAAAACACATGCAAATGAATGCAAAGATTAGTAATAGCAGAATTGCAAAATCTGTTCTTGTCTATTCAGAACAGAAATGGTGGTCCAAGTTCACAATCTTTCTCCTCACTCCAGTTTCAAACAAAATTTCACTTACAATACACTCCCTTTGGAAGAAAAGGTACCAATGACTTTTGTATTCACTACCGTTTCTGGCACAATTTAGTGCTAATGGTAAACTAATTTGCACAGCTGATTTTTTATTTGCATGTCTCTTGACTCTGCTTAACTCTTTTAATGGATTTGAATCTAGCCCAGCCTTAGACCTAAATGGTTATAATTTGATGTGGAGCTGCCCAAATAAAGGTACTCAGCTAATGCCTTCAGTAATTTCACCACCATCATCACTCTCTCCAATAGACCACATTCTAAGGACATTATTTCTAGCTCAGGGTTGAAATAAAGGGTCTTTGGTGCTCTCTGAGCTTGGCTGCAGATGTTTCATTACCCAAACTATGTAACATCATCAGTGCTAGTCCATTGACTAGTTCATTGACTGGTGATGTAATCTAGTTAGGGTAATGAAACGTCTGCAAAAAACAAACAAGCTCAGAGAGCACCAAAGACTCCTCAGATCACATTCTCATTCTGTTAATGGCATTAGAAAGAAGTGGCACGTACTAACACAGGAAACAAAACAAAAAATATCATCCCCCATCATTTGGAAGATATCAGCTGCCAGCTACATAGAATCTTATCTCCAGACTGAATATCAAAAATACAGAGTGCAGTTACCAAAATGAACTCCCTCCACAGAACTCTCCTGTACATCCAAAAAGACTAATATTTTTCCTGATTCATTGCTATATTATCTGGAGAACAGTTAGGGATTGGTAGACAGTAGCAACACAAGAGTGTTCTGTCTCTATACTACAGCAACTTAACTTTCAAATAGGTTATCAAATACATATATATGCAGAGTCCTGCATAAATATTTGCAAAAGCATTTCTGTTTTAAAGGCACAATTCTTCATTAACGGAGTCCCTTGTACTTTCTATATTAATCAACATTCTCCATCTTTTGCTCTATTGATGGCCATTCATCTTATTTTTATATAGGAAATTTCAAATTGTGTTCTAACCTCATTCTTACTTTTCCTCCACTACCCCTGAATATGGACAGTGGTGGTAGTGAACAGGACAGTACTTTTCCTACTAAGTACTAAAAATCCCTGAAACTCTTCAAAGAACGGAAGTGCAAATTCCATGGCACACAAGCCACATGCAAACCTCTAGCCCAAGATACAGCTCCCAAAATGTGATGGAAAAATTGGGATTTCCAAAAGTGGTCTGAGTTTGGACTGGAAACAGAAGATTGCTCTCAATCCTTCTTATAAATGTCTACAATCTCACCACTAAAATCCAGCTGTTCAACCGTAATATTTTGTGTACCGCTTTATCACCTGAATTTTAGACTATTTAGAAGGCAAGGAGTGTTAAACCTGAGAATGGGTTGGTTGTCCAGCAATCTCGATCTTCCTATTCTCACTCTTAATCTCCATAAAAAGGATTCAGAAATGAATTCCACCTCTTCTTATGATGTCAACAGAAGGCTACAGAAAGCTGAGTTGTGGCCCCTGACTTTGCCCATACATATTCAACAAGATCCCAGGCCAAACCTTAACACTCATAGTCGGAAAGAATGATTTCACAGGTAACAAGGCCTCCTGTTCTTTCCAAAGTTCCACTTTCCAGCCAGCCTTAGAAAAGTGGCGTATGGTCTTACAGAATTATGGTTACGAATTGGCAAGAACTCCCAATAAATATCTACAGTAAGAATAAGTCCAGAGTGCCCTATTTCTAAGTCCAGAAAACCAAAACTAAGAAGGGCTAGTTTTACTCCTTTAAAGTCACCAAATTCAGTTAGCAGAAAAAATCAACTCCCTTAGGGAGTTAATCCAAGATGGGAAACCATGTTGAACAAAGGATTAGTCATTTTCGTCCCTGAAGGTATCAATTTTCTGACCACTGTATCTCCATAAGAACAGCCAAAATGTATAGCTTGTGGGCAGTGGATGTTCAGATTAGACCAGGTTACCTTTGTGGGTGTGCCAGGAATAGAAGAGGGAGAGGCTGGAAAGTTCAGGCCACATTTCTTCCCTAGGCAATGACTATTTGTCTCGATATCTTCATAGGGGTTTTCTTTTGCTGGTAAATCTGGAATTGAAAACCAAGGCAATAAATGTACATGTACATAAAACAAAATACAAGTTTTTCCTAAGAAGTTGGAAATGACATTTGTGGGCAGAATGAGGTTCCATCTCTTTCACAAACTACCATCAGCATATACAAGAGTCCTCGACCTACAACCACAATTGAGCCCAAAACTTTTGTTGCTAAATGAGACAGTTAGGGGAACTTGCCCTATTTTTACGACCTTTCTTGCCACAGTTGTTAAGTGAATCACTACAGTTGCTAAGTTAGTAACACCGTTGTTAAGTGAATTTGGCTTTCCAAATTGACTTAGCTTATCAGAAGGTGGCAAAGGATGATCACATGACCCCAGGATAACCGTCAAAAGTACGAGTCAGTTGCCAAGCATTTGAATTATGATCAAGTGACCATGGGGATTCTGCAATGGTCATAAGTGTGAAAAATGGTCCAAGACAAGGTTTCCCTCTGAGAATGTTTTTGTGCAGGTACCTGTTACATAAGCAACAGTGCATTGTGCACCTAAGGAGCTACTCCAGTATCCCCTAATCTTTTCAGCAGTTATTTGCACTGATCTGCGGATTCTGTTTTGCAGCTGTGACCATTTCCTGGCATTTTATTTTTTTGTGGTCTTCCACAATGTGCCTTGACTTCCATATATGTTCCATTGCTTGACAGTATTTCTCACAAGTAAAATCACTAGCTGGAAGCATATACAGATTTTTAGTACCTTCCCGTGCTCTAATTGAATTGTCTTCATTTTCAGATATTCAGATGGGGAGCTTAAGGTGGTTAAAGGTCAAAACCTGAGAGTTGGAATAATCAGGGTATTTGTTCACTTGTGGAATTACAGACTTAAGGAGTCATATCTCTGTGGACCTTACTGATAACTGTACATTAAAAAAAAGAGTAACAATAATTCAACCAGAAAGCTACTCAAACTTTTATACCACATGCATTACAGTATTTTCTTAATCTGAATTTGTGAGCAGCTGCATTTAAGGAATGAGTATGCATTCAACTTTGCAGAAAGTTGGCTTTAATGCTACACCATGCAAAGGCAATGTCAGCTTCTATTCACTGAGGGATTCACTGAAATGTAAAAAGACCATGACTGCTAAAACCTGAAGACTTCCTCTTCCAAGGTTCTCCAAACACCCCCCAAAACAAAAACTTTTGAGGACCATTAGGCTGAAAGAGAGTGACTGGTCCAAGATAAGCTTTTAAACCAGGTTCCAACAATTGTTGTTCTTTTTTTTTTTAAGAGTCATACCTGAACATCAGTAGTCAGTGCCAACATCATGACTGGATGGCATGAGGGGAAAAGGAAAGGAAAATTGAAGAATAGTTTTGGAAGAAAAGATTAAAAATAATGTGCTGAAGCATGCTGAAAGGAGGAGAGCGTACTGAAGGTGCGTTCTAAGCTGGAAATGTTCAACTTCTTATAGGCACAATTCAACACAAAAGTTGGATTCACATATCATATTAAATGTATAATACAACTGGCTTACTTTGGACTTAGTGTATGGCTTACTGCTATAAGCAAATCAGCCTATTCCAACTTATTCATCAAAGAGCAATTTAAAAAAAAAATCTCTGTTTAGTATTATGAGTCAATCAATAAGATGTGCTTTTTGCCTATTGATTTTGACATTTTATTTTATGTTGGATTGTGGCTATTACTTTAGTTTGAGTATTAACAATTTATTTAGAACTCATTGTTACATACTAGCAAACTGATGGATCACATTTGGATCAGGTTTTACTCAAGGTAGTAGTATACATACTACTGTATACATGCAAATGTCTTCCTTGCTTTGACATATGCACACAACACTGAAATAATGTATTTTTTCCTTTTCTCATATTAGCTTGTGTTGGCTTCATCTATTGCTTTCTGTTGACTAGAAGTACTTGCCAGGGTTACAGTCCTGTCATGCACTGTATGTTATTCCTATAAATAAGAGGATATTGCATGCCATAAAAAATCCGTTCTAACCTCAAAAATTATGTATATACATGCCCTAATACACCAAGGAGATGTTACTTTAAACATGCAAGTTTTCCAGATGCTGAATTTTGATCAGTCCCAAATAGCATGGCAACACTCAGATTTGCAGAAATTAGAGTTCAACTAATATCAGGAAAATGGTTGGTGCCCATCCTTATCCTTACAGGGCATTATTATAATTTCCACCCCTCTGATCTTCTAGAAAACAAGTCTATACGGAAGCCTATGGTTTGAAAAATGCCACATACTCTTGCACTAAATATTCACACATCCACAGAGTACCTTACAGCACAAAGCTCACAATAATTGCTCTTCATCTTCAGAATGCCTACCTAGAATATCTTCATAGACGTTTTCCTCTGATAAAGTGCGGGTTAGGGCCATCTTGCTTTGAGCGTACCAATCCACTCGGCCATTCTCAGAGGAGGATTGCAACAAATCTTCAAATTCATAGGACTTCCTAGGGCATTTATTTAGAAAGAGCAGAGAGATGGTGGGAAAAAAAGTAGATATCTCAGAAGAATACAATAAAGCAAATCACTCGAAGAATTACTGGAGAAAAGGTGTATTTTTATAGTTTTATGTCACAGTAAGCAACCATCAAAACGTTTTGCTGCAGATCTTAAACCTCCCAGGCTATGGCTTTCCTTTCTCCAAAACGTCAAGAGATTCTTACACTGGGCTTTCACTTTGTCTCTAGATATCTGAAAATTTCTGGCTGCTTCTAAGTCTCCCCCCTTCTCCCCTGTTCTTTAGCCTTGGATTGATTCCCAGAATATCTGCATGAATCCACTTCTCATTCCTTCCAAATCCCTCTTCAAAATCTATCTGTTCGTGAAGTTTTTAGTTCATTCTCTTAGTCCCACTACCCACGGTATGAGTAAATTTAATAGAAGTATATCTCCACTTTATGTAGCAGAATACATAAAAAATTATATTGTTCATTAAAAATCACACTATAAGAGAAAGAGATATAATCAATATATAGTAATACCTGTGATCTGCGTTAGCCTTAAGCTTTCCATTCCTCAGTCTTCTACTAATGGCTGAGGGGGGAGGGGAGGAAGGCAGAGGAGGGGGTGGAATAGAAGGGAGAGGGGGAAGGAGTCTCTTATTCCGAGCAGGAAGAATCCACCCCACTTCACCTTCGTGTTTGAAAGTCCGTCGGGGCTTAGGAAGCGGGTTGATAAAAGGTTTCTTCTCTGGCAAGCCAGGCTCCATATATACATTTTCTTCATTGTGAGATCTGCATTTCACACAAGATGCTTTCACCTCTTCCAAAGTCCCAAAGATTGGTTCTCTGGCTTCAGTATCCAAGCCAAGGAGCCACTTACTTACTTCTAGGCGGTTGGTACTTTCCTGGCCTTCTGATGGCTCCTGATCCTCACCTGTCTTCTCTTGCAGAGAATGTGGAGAATAATAAGTACCTGGTAGCTGGGGCTGGGCTTCAGCTGACCCACACTTCAAGGCCTGCTCCAGCTTCTTGACCTGACTCAAGACAGACAGGTTCTCCTTCTGGACTTCCTTCCTACTGTCCTTCAACTCAGTACATTTACCCACACTGAAATTACATTCTTCCTCCCTTGATTTCACATCAGTTTTCCTTACAACATGCTGCCCAGCATTTTTAAAAGTTCCAACAGGCCTCTCATCCTCCTTGCTTGGTCCCTTGTGATTTGGGGGCCTCTTATTCTCCACTTCTCTCATTGCAACACTATTCCTAGTCATCTTCTCCATTACACCCAAAACTGGACTGGGTTCCTCTTTAATACTTTGGTCCTCCTCCTTCCACGGGGACACCGGAGCTGGAATTTCCTTTTTTCCTTCCCATTCTGAAATCTTGTCCTTGATACTTAAAGGCTTGTTTTTCAAGTTGACTTTCCCAACAGTCCGAAGATTTTGACAACCACCCATTTGCTTCTTTAGAATCCTGCCACTTTCCCGCATGTTGAGATCTACTGATGGATCTCCAATTATCATCTTGGGACTTAGCATATTCTGCTGAAAACAGTCCAGTCTTGGATCCAGCATCAATTTCTTTATGGTTTTCAGTTCTGCTTTAGGCAGTAGCTTGGGTGTGAAGGCGACGCTCTCCGACCAATTACGCTTTGAAAGCCCACCCCAAAATCCTGTTTTTGCAGCTGTATTATTTACACTTGCAAACCTGATCCTAGGCAAAAAGGGAAAGTGTCAGAAGAAATTTACAGGTTGATATTCATCATTTCAGTAGAGTGTCGTAAGCTGGATTTAATATTTAGTTGAATATTAAATGTATGACATTTTAACTTAAAAGTTACAGGAGCGCAGAATTATTAAATAGTTTTTGCTGTAATTTTTTTTACTGTCTTCCCACTAATCTAAATTTATCTGCAAAGAGGAGTGCTTTTCTATCTTTTCAGTAAAACATTAATATCTAGCACCTCATTTATTTACAAAAGTGTCCAGTAGCACCTTAAAACAAAACACATTTATTCTTCATAAATCCATTTGTTTGAGCATTCCAAAGCTGATGCCAAAATAAATATATTTCTCATTTGTCAACTTAAAACTATTTGGTATTTTTCCCTTTCCCTATATCAGCAGATTAACCTGAGTGTGTATGGAAACTCTTCAAAATCCCCTTTCTTAAAAGCTAAACTAGGTAAGATCCTAGTTTTAAGGTCCTAAATGGGTTATCTATATTAAGAAAATATTTGTATGGACACTACTCATGCCTTTACTTTGAATACCTAGAGCACATGGACTTTAAATATATGTTTAAACTAGACTGAAAACTTTTCTACTTAACAATTTATTATATGAAGCTGCTAAACTAATGATATGCAGCTCCAGAGATGAATTTAGTGCTGAGAGATTCTTAAAATCTTATCCTCAGGTTAATAGGATATTGGAAGGAGGGGCTATTAAACAGGGGGATTTTAAATTGCAATTGATTACTTATTATTACATTTTTAAGATTTATATGTTATTTATAGCATATAAAATTATATGCAAAGTGACTATTTCCACAGCTTACAGTATATTAGGGATTTGTTTCATACCTAAATATAAACAATAAAAGCTGCAGCCAGAGTAACAGAAAAAGATCAGTTTAGCACATGTAGTTAAAACATATTAATATAACAAAAAGCCTACGATGTTTCTTTGTCCAGTACTGAAATACTAGGGCTTATATTTCTAGCAAAGCCTCCAAAATCCAGGTCAGGGTCTTGGGTCGAATAAAAAAGTTATGAATAAATTTGACTGTCTCTTTTAAATTTTCCCCTCTTCTCCCCTACTTTATGTCCTGGTTAAGTTTCTAAAGCCATGATTAATGACAATAAAACAGAAATAAATATGGAGAATAGATATTCCCTACACTTATCCAAAACAATAAAATAAATTCCTCACCAGGGCCTCAGTGAAGCTGAGGTCAACAGAAGGCACTTTGGTTGTAAGTCATGGCGGTCATTAAGTGGGTTATGTGACCTGACTCAGTTTTATGACCATTTTTACAATGGTTGTAACATGAGTCCCCGCAGTCGTTAAGCAAACCACGTGGTAGTTAAAGAGAATCCATTTTTTCAAATGGACATTTTTTGCCAGAACATGGTGGTAAAAGTGAGCCAATTGCCAAGCACCCAAAATATGACTTTATGTGTGTGTGTGTGTGTGTTGTGTCAGTCATAACTTTGAGGAAGAGTTGTAACTAACTATTTGGGAGTTATTAAGTGACTGGTCATTGAGCAAGGACTACTTATGTTAAATTCCTGCCTACCCTTCCTTCATTTGGAAATCAGCACAAACAGAACATTAAGAATATTTACCTCTCACTTTTTTTGCAAATAATGATTTCAGGCTTGCTCTCCACATTGGGGGCGGCACTTCCTGTCATCGTGTCAGCAGCTGGCATGGCTGCAGGCCACCTAGGAAGAAACACATAAAGCAGTACATTCATAAAAAGCTGGGTGCTTTGTCCCGTGATTTGCAGCAGATACTCTTTTATATGTCTATATGTACAGACAATTGGGATTTATTCAATAAAATAAGGTGAAAATAAGATCCCTAAATTCATACCGTTGCTCATCCCCCTTCTTCGAAGAGCAGTTTTTGAGATGCTATAATTATTCAGTAGTTGTTTAGGTTGCTTTCTATGAAAACACTTTCCCCCAACTTGGTTTGTTCTGGGTGGTCCATTGTTTCACTCCCATAATCCTTAGCACAATCATATCTGGGGCCCACAGACTGGAAAAAAAGCTTTGTTAATTAAAAGCCAGGGATAGTGATTAGGCTCAGAAGAAATGTTAGAAACAGAATTATTAACTGTACTGTCACCAATGTAGAATTTTGTTTTAGAAAACAAAATGCAATTTAAAACAATGAAGATAAGACAGTAATCAACAATTGATTAGGATCATGTGGTTTTTGAGGGTTGTTTTTTTTTAATTCAGCCGCCCTTCTCCCCATTGCTTCTGGATCCTGCTCCCCTGCTGGAGAGCATTGGAAAGTTTGCTGCCAACACTGACATAAAGGGGTCTCATTTCAATTACAGTTGTAAAACTATGTTACTGAGTTCAGTCTGTTTCTTCAGACTCAGAAACTAAACAGATTCTCAGCCTGCCCTTTGGGAATTAACGGAAGAGGACACATTGGGAAAAGGGGCATTCAAAGAGATATTGGTGCAGGCTAGGGCAGTTGATCCAGAACCCAGGTTAAGCAAGGAACCCATCTCTCTGTCTCTCCTCTGCTTGAATTAACTGGCTGAACTCTGGATGGAAAATTGACTACTGTACTCATGGATTCACCTGAACCTACTTCAGTATTTAGCTTTCTGGGCTTTGTTTTTTAAAAAATTAAGGTCTTATACTTTACTTTGTCTGTATGTTTCAAGCAGAATTTTAATCTGCATTTTATTTATGAAATTTATCTGTCATCTACATCGTGGTTCAAGGCAATTGTTTGACTCAGTAAATACCTCTAGGTTATAATACAAGCTGTCTGGGCCTATACCAGCTGTTCTCAACCTATGGGTCGTGACCCCTTTGGGGGTCGAACGACCCTTTCACAGGGGTCATCTAAGATCATCGGAAAACACATGTCGCCCTCTTGGCTCTCTCTCTCTCTCTCTCTCCCTCTCCCCGCCTGGGTACTTCTCCAACCAGGCTGGGCGGAGCGGCCTTCCTGCCCGCCCTCCCCAGCCAGCTGGAGCCGGGCAGGCCGGCGACCTTCGGAAGTGAGGCAAGGACAGGCGAGGCGCGCTGAGCCCCGGGCATGGTGGGTAAGTGGGTGGCGTCGGTGCGCACTTGGAGAGCCCTTAGGGTTGGGGTCACCACAACATGAGGAACTGTATTAAAGGGTCGCGGCATTAGGAAGGTTGAGAACCACTGGCCTATACAAAGGACTGGGCTACCTATAGTATGTTGATACCCTATAATTCCATGGGCGGTAGTTGCCCTGTAAGCCAAAGGTCCAACTGAACTGAAGAATTCCTTCCAAAAATGCTTGGAAGCGATGACTGCATCTTGCCAGAATTTCCTCTTTGCAATTTGAACTGGGAACTGTGAATCCAAACAAAATGATGCTAAGTCCTCGCTTATTGATGGTAATTGGGACCAAAAAAACTCTGTTGCTAAACAATGTAATCATAAGGCATGATGGCAGTTCTGGCAGTCCCAGTTGCCACTGTTAGGTGAATTCTGCATGATTGCAGCATCCCACAGTAATGTGATCACCATTTGCAACCTCCTGATGGCTTTCCCATTGACTTTGTTTATGAGAGAAAGCAGGGAAAGTTGCACATGGTGATCATGTGACCGCAGGAGGTTCTGATGTCATAATTGCAAACCAGTCACCAAGCACCTGAATCACAAACATGTGACCACAGGGATGCTGCAACAGCTACAAATATGAGGACCACTTGGTTAGTGATTTCATAACATTCAATTGCTGAATGAATGGCTGATAAACAAGGACTATCTGCATATGTTAGAAGGAAAATAAATGTCAAAAACGCAACTGTTCCAGCATCAATTGTGATATATAGGCAATTTTAAGGCAGCAATGTTCTTGTCCCTTTCTCTCACTTTTTCTATGTGGAGGGTTGGGTCCTCCCTTCTTTTATGTGGAAGGATCAGATTGCATCTATTCACTAGCATAATAAATGACATCATATTAATCAGTGTGAGATGTATCTTTGTGATTTTTTTTTCTATTTTCCTTGCTAAAGAGAATAGAGTTTCCAGCTATCCTTTGGTGGGAGAAATATGAATGTAACCTTCAGGAAAAAATGCCAAAGAAGCTATTATGTAAACATTGGATTAGACCAGAAAGAGGTGAGAAAGTGAGAAAGAAGTTCAACATTGCCTTGTCTTGATTCTGTTTACTATAGGTAGGAAGGGGATCTCTCAGACTTTATAACAACAGAGGAATGATAATTGCATCAATCTTTCAATACCCATTTATATCTACTCTACTCTCCCTAAAGCAGTGTTTCTCAACCTTGACAATTTTAAGGCATGTGGACTTCAACTCCCAGAATTCCACAGCCAACATTGCTGGCTGTGGAATTCTGGGAGTTGAAGTCCACATGCCTTAAAATTGTCAAGGTTGAGAAACACTGCCCTAAAGGGTTGCAGAGATGCGTTTGTGTGTAAATCCAAATATCTACTGAGCCAGAGAGCCTAGGAAACTGCACCTTTATAGGACCTTGACAGAATTTCATCTGTCTCATGGTTATTAAAAGGCTGGATTACTCTTCAGATAACTAATTGGAGAGAACATGGGGGAGTTAATTTAGCTCAAACAAGCCCAGACTTTCTTGAAGCTAAAACTAATCTCTCAAGGTTAGATGACTGACTCAGATAACTTGGTTTTGGAGTCCTTCTTTACCCCTCAGCCCCAAGATCTAGCTAAGTATGCTGTATGAATGAACCTGGATGTAATCTAGTAACAGTCAATGTTATGAACTCATGATTTGCTACTCTGGAGAGGCTACATATGTCTTGCTATTTTGTCAGTGTTTGGAGAGCTGAAGCTGCCAAGCAAACCTATTAAAATGCCATAGATTGAAAGAATATTTTTTGTCCAAGTGACAATACAATTCATAGTACAGCATCTTTTACAGAGCCAGACATTGCTCAAAGGGTAATTTAATTCTTGTGGATTTTCTGCCTGATTGCTGAAAGTGTGCCATGAGTGTTTTTTAGCTATTGAATGATTGGCATACTGTTGGGCTAATTGGGAGAAAATGCTGTACTCAGGAAACTCTACCTTCTTTTGAAATCTCCAATAGCACAAGAGGGAGATTGACAGACTCCAGAGAATAATTTAAAAGACATAATAGAATATAGAACAGAATAATAGAGCTGGAAAGTCTTTCAACAACTATGGCAATTCCAAGAAACAACAAACCCACTCTTGCTTCGAAACTTCTCAACAAAGGAAATAACGCTATTTCCCAGGATAGTCTGTTGCTGTATCTAACAATTCAAACTGTTCAGAATAGCCTTCTCCAATTTAGTGCTGTCCAGATGTGTTGGCATTAGAATTCCTATTACTCAACAACAGGGGGCCCAAATCCCCGGTCCATGGACCAGTACCAGGCTGCGGTATGCCAGCAACCAGGCCCCACAAACAAGCAAAGCCTCATCTGCAAGATGCAGGCAGCACACAAAATCATGCACTCTCCGGTCCGCAGAAAAACCTCTCCCCACAGAACTGGTCCCTGGTGCCCAAAAGGTTGGGGACCTCTGCTCTAACAGCCTGTCCATAGCCGGGGTACCAAGAATTCAGACAAATGGATTCCCAGCATATTTGCAGGGCATCATATCTTGAACCTTGTATTTGAAGAAAACATTTCCCAATTCAGCATTATTCTTCTTGTCATATATTTTAATAAATCAATAAACCTAACAAAAAAAATTCTCACATATATACATTTCTCAATGACCTGCAGAAGAGCAAAAATCTGCTTTGCCATCCCTCCATCAGCATTTCCAGAACTTTATCCACTAGCACCTCTAGTACCCTTTCAATCAGAATTTAGGCAGTTTCCCAGGTATACTTAACAGAATCACTTGTAATATTTGCATTCACACCTGCTACCTTTCCTTTTGGACAGGAGAACAATAACAGCATTCTTCCAATTGACAGACACAGATGCACTATTCACATACATGATAAAGTTGCACAGTTACTACTCCCTTTGAACCCTATTTTAATCTCATAACATTTTTCTGGTGTATCATGTGCAGACCTACAATTTTTCAACATATTCACAATGTATGGCTTTTTCATTCATTCTGGTAGACTCTTACATTTATACTTTTATTATAATTTTGTCTACTTTTCCCTTTCTTTTCTGCCTACTTTTCCCCCCAATGATCCACTTTTTTTACCACCAAATAATAGTCCATCTAACATTCAAAACCTCTCATTACGCTTATATCCTATACTAATTCTCTTAATTTTGTTATTTTTAATATTATTCTTCCTCCGTATGTGCACACAGATTCATACTCAAGTTATGTATTCAGGACAAATCCCAAAACAATGTGATTCTAAACAATCACTTTTGCTAAGCAGATATGTGCTAGTCACCTCTCCTGTTTATTTTCGAGTTTCTGAATGGGCCTATCACTTTTTCCAACTCTCCTACATCATCCCCATACATCCTTTCATATCATATAATGGGATAAATTTTCCCTTATTCATTCACCATATTGTACAATTTTCCCCAAACTCATCCCTGATTTGTTCTCTATCACCATTCACTGGAGAATAACATAAAATTATCAAGAGACTTCAGACTCCTACTGTCATATGCATTCACAAGTTACATTGCAGCAACTCATACTTCGACACCTTTATTTGCTTATTCTGAAATTTATATGCCATCAATTTCATTTATATGCTACTAATTCATAATAAATGAAGGTGCCATAGAGATGGCCAGAGACATTAGTTGAGATGGGTGGCTATGAATAAATGAATGAATAAACACACAAACAGTTCTACAACAAAACACAACTCAACATTGAATAATGTAGCAGTAAGATGACTGTTCAAGTCCAAAAGTCATTCTGGAATAATTTAATCTTAACTGCCTTACAGAAGGCTGGCAAGATAGGGTCTACTCTAATATATATTCTAGCATTGGTGCTATAACATAAAAGCATTGTCTTCTCCCTTTGGCCCTCCTTATCTCAAGAAATAGTAAGATTTCAGACTCACAAAACTGATATCAGCTTTGCAAGGTAGTTCATTCAAAAAAGCAAATCCAGAAGAACTAGTTCTATTTTATTGTACTCACACTGTCCTCCTACATTACTACAATCATATATTCTCCACATCTTATCTCATCACTATCATGGTGGGATCAATCCTTGGCTCCTCCAGAAATTGATTTCCTTGGTATCCTGCAAACTAGGGAATTTCCTTGGATGGTAAGCCCTTTCATTTATAATTACACCTCCACTTCACTTCTCCGCATGTATTTATCCATTCCATGCCGTATCTTCCACAAACATTAAAACAGAAAAACAGTAATCTATACTATATAGCTATATAGCAGACATGTCAAACTCGCGACATCACGTGACGTCGTGCAACGTATCGGGAGTTTGCCATTGCTGGCAATTGGGTGGGTGCGGCTTCCACGTGACGCGTCTGGCCCGCAGGCCAGCAGTTTGACACCCCTGCTATATAGTAATTGGAATATACCACATTTGATCCATATGTTGTTTTGTTACATTTTCTTTTCTTTTTTCTTTCATTTCACTTTAAGAAGCAAACAAGCACACAAACAAACAAAAACAATAAAATAAGTTATCTTTGAGAGGAAATCAGCAAACCCCTCTTTGAGGATTATCAAAACATACAGTACTTTGTTAATGCAATCTCGTGGTAGCACAAGAAACATGTTGGGAGATTTTATGATGATGACAGCAATGGCCATTAATCTGAAAGCCTTGGGCATTTTGTGATATTGTTTGATCACCAAGAAAGGCTCCTAATGAGCTCAATTCATTCCTAGGACAACAGAAGGCAATGTGCCTTGTTGCAAAGGCCAAGGATGAATAGGATCTCTAAAGATTTTCTGTGGAATAATTGGTGCTAGCTGAGGCCACAGTTCCCTTGTTCTTCCTAAAGTTAAGTTCTATTCTACAGCTACAGTGGAAAGGGCTTCTGCACCACATTCACTGCAAAGGAAGGGAAAAGGTTCCTGCCCCCACTTTGCTTTGAAAAGCAGCCCTCCACCTCACCCCCTTCACTGCTTCTCAAGAGCGCATTATGCTAAACCCATAAGCCAAAATTGAGGATGGGAGGGAGGGAGGGAGGGAGGGAGGGGGAGAGAGGAGGGACTTTTCTGTGGTAGGAAAAAAAGTTCATTGTCTCTTACACAATCCTTTTGGAAGGGAGGAATGACCCTGAAGCCTCTGAAGCCCATGAGATCTTGCAGAACCAATCTGGAAGACAGGCAGAAAATAAAAGAGTGCAGCTAGTACTTCTTCAGGCACGTTTGGACACAGAAAGAAAGTCTCCTCTCAGGAGTCCAAGATATGAAAGGGTGGAGAAGTGGGGATAAGGGTGAGCTTTCATGGGGCTCCATCTCCCATGATACCTCACAACCCCCTAAGTGATGTTTGCAAATCAAGAGACTGATGATCAAACCCATCCAACTACATTTTTTACCCTGTATCCAGAAAGCTTCTCATCTAGAATCCCAGTTTATTTCTTATAAAATGAGACAAATTATACCGGAGACAAATTCCTTGTGTGTCCAATCATAATTGGCCAATACAGAATTCTAAAAATCTTAAGTAAGTTAGTAGCTCCTATCCCATTACAGACAGAAGGCTAGGGATGGGGAATTTAGCATATTTAAGATCATTTTTGGGAGGTTCATATCAGAGACAAAATTTGAACCAGGGACCCACAGACCCCTTATCAATTGCACTAAGCTTCTGTTCTGAGAAAAAAGAGGAGAAAGTCTGCAGGGGACCAAAAGGGCATGTGAGCTTCCAAGAACCTAAATTTTGATCAGGGGCAATGCAGTGGCCATTACTACAGGCAAGGGTTGTTAAGCCTCTTCATTCAGTAAGGTCATAACTTCAAACAGTTGCTGAGCAAGGACAATCTGTATGTATCACATTCATTCAAGATAATATTCTACTAGATCGCACCAGATTGGAAGGTTATAAAATAGTTTGCATATATGCATCAGAACAAAAATAAGAAAGTTTCTTTAAAAACAAACTTTGCTGCAAAAACAAAGATCCCCCATATATTTTTCCCTATAAGGTGAAGTGGTAACATGTAGTTAATATAAATTCTTCTTGAAAGAATATAAGCCTTCTCTCATACTCGTAAAAGACTTGACTGTTTCAATTTTTTTTTCTTGCTTGGTCTCTTCAAAATTTTAATACATAAAGGGATTTGTTCCATGCAAGTTTATTGTTTCTAAATGCTTTTTAGTGCTCAGTGTTCATTTCAGAAAGCCTGCATAGCTTTACAGCTACTTCATATGTTCTGACTGCAGCCCTGAGATAAAACTCAGGACCAAGCAAACTCTCCATCAGATGTTTGGAAGGGAAACAATTTGCAAAGACAAGAACAGATAATATCATGATGGAGAATCAAAGAAAGAGCAGACAGGTGGCCTATCACCTTGGGATGGTCCTCTGGCTAGCTTCCAAGGGATATCAATTGGCAAGAGGGGAGGGGGGTCAAGCCACAGCTGGATCCTCTGAGCAGCACAATAGTCTTAGGAATGTCAACCCTGTCTTGCAAAAGAGTAGGCACACAAAGCACAACCATCCAGAAGGAATACAAGAAGCTAAGCAGCTCTCTGATTAGATGGATGGTGGGAAGGACACTAAGCAAGAAGAAAACTTCAGAACAGCAAGTGGCTGAGCACAACCCCTCACAGGCACGCCTGCTCTGGATTCCCAGGGCCCCGTGATCAAGCACTTCCTCTTGTCAGGCAGAAGAAGACCCAGTGATGACCCTTTCCTTCCACACATCAGCTTCTGCCTGGGTTTGTTTTTTTTCCCCCTTCTGAAGAGGCGTTTGTTTACTCTCCTATCACTGGCATGCAGGAAATAGCCTTGAAATAAGCTGTAATCACCTTTCACCAGCAGTTGCTCTTTGACTGCTTTTCTAATTTCAGTTCTCCTTTCTTTCCTTCTTTCTTATCCTGATGAACTAAATCCTTGGATGGATTACTTTTCTTTCTAAGGGAAGAATTTCTCTGGACACTTCCTGGCGAGGCTTTTGGTGTGCATGGGGCAGGTCCTGGCTTCATGTTATTTTCTCCACCCTCCCAATATGGAATTTTGGTCCCTAGATTGAACTTCAAGGCCAATATCTCCAGCAAACATGGTTTTTGGTGAGAACTGCAGAAAAACATATCAGGAAAACACCAAGTATAGGGGAAGGCTATATGTAGTGATCAGACAAGAAAAATGAGATTCTTTGAAGACAGCTTTATTTTCCCACCGGCTCAAGTTTTTTTTAACTAAGAAAAAAAAAAATCCAGTACTGTATGTTTAAAAACAAAACAAAATAGTATAGTTTTTTTGGGCAAGTTTGGCCAAGAAAATGTTCAACCAGGCAGGATCTCCTTTTCTATTGCTTGCTATGTATTTATGCTCCAAAGCAAAACTTTATTCAAACCATTTCAGCTTTACTGAGCGGAGAGATGTTCCCTGCATTTTGTTATGAGAAACACACTGGAATAAAGATATACAATCTTTCACAGTTTAAATATATATATTTACCTAAAAGAAAAATCATACTGAAAACAGGGTTCTGTGAAATTTGTTTTAAGAAAACAAACAAAACAAACTTGTTTTAAGAAACAAAACTGGTATCTATTTCAATTACTGCCAATCTTTCCTTTACCACCACCACCCCAAATGAATAAAGGCAATTTATTTTATGATTTATTAATCAAATTTATCTCACCAAAGACGACTCTGGGCCTTGCAAATTAAAAAACCTCTGCAATTGGCATAATTAAACAGGCAGGAAATTCATAGATCTTCTAAATATAATGAAACTATGCACAATATTGCATCAGTTTTCATAGAAATCAGATGATACGTGATGGTCCAGAAATGAATGCATTTTGTTTTCCATTGGTACAAATCCAAAGTAGTGTTGAATAGAAATAATACACTCCTTATCAAACATTAATAGTCCACTTAAACTGACAATTAAGCCAACAGGACTTGTGGAGTTATATCATAAACAAGTGGATACCAATCTGGGAAAGGCTGAAGACAGCATTTAAAAACAACAACATATAGACCAGTGGTCCTCAACCTGTGGGTCGGGACCCCATTTGGGGTCGAACGACCATTTCACAGGGGTCGCCAAACAAGGCTGTCCGCCAGTTTTTTCCCCTTTTCTTTGGCCACGCCCCTGGCACCCAGTGATGCATAAGTGGTTGGGGGTCACCACAACATGGGGAACTGTATTATGGGGTCGCGGCATTAGAAAGGTTGAGAACCACTGATATAGACAATGTGAAACAGGAATTTGAAAAAATAATATACGTGTTACATCTAATTCACAATTAAAAGTTAAAGTCTGCTCTGAGTTATCCATGTTGGCAATTGCAAGGAAACTCTTTTGTCTCTCCTTTTTACAATCTTCCTATTCTTCTGGTATTTCGTGGTAATCTCCTATCCCTAGCCCTGCTTTGCTTTCAAGTCCTGTCCAGATCCACAATGACTCTGTGGCTTCTCAGGACTTCACATCCTGAAGTTTTTTCCAGTGGAAACTATGGGTAGTTCATTTGAGCAATCTAAAATCCCCCATCATTTGACCTGCATCCTCTTTTTCTATTTACAATGAATATAGCAATCAGTCATGTATGCCTATGCATGTGTGTTTTCCATAACTACTAAAAGTTACTGATCTCTATACTAAATGTTCTAGAAGATAGGCCCATATAATGTCTCAAAAATCAAAAAAATAAGTGCTACAGAAAGAACATTAAGGACATGTTGTGGATCTGAAAGGGCAAATTCTAAACTCTCTCTGCCCCCATAATTGCAACCCATATTATTGGTAGTTTAATAGTGCAAATAGTTTCAATCAATTCTTGTAAACTATATTTGATCTATAAAATACAGAAGACAGAATATGAAGGAGTATTTCAGTCAAAAGCATTAGCTCCATTTAATATTTTTATTAAAGTGTGCTATGAGATAAAATACAACTAGAAACAAAAGTTAGGAAAGATAAAGAAGAAAGAAGTGCAAAGAAAAACGAAGAAAAAATTGTGATTTCTGACTTTTTTAGTGCAGTAAAATACACAAAAAAGCTACAACCTCAATCTTTTGCCTTACATTTACAATTATTTCAAACCATTTCTATAACAAAGTCACTCTAGTCATCAAAACCTAAAATCAAAGTTTCACTTTTTCAGTTTCGATCACAAAAACCAGAAGCTGTTCCAAGTATTAACAAAACTAGGTAAATTCTTCTATTTCATTAAAGCAGTCAATTTTGCCATCTCTGCCCACTCCATCACTTTAACTTCAATTCTAACTACTATTTTAGAATGTCTGTTGTTTATTTTTATTGATGGAGAACAGAATATCTTTGTTCAGGAAGGGCCTCACAACACTGCATTCTTAGAACCAATACACCAGTACATACTTCTGTTGGTTCCTGTCAGATTTCCCATCTCTTTTAACTTAAACATATGAAATGGAAAGATGGCATGCCACAAAGCAAAACCGCAGCATCCAGATCAATTTGTATTGAAGACTGTCTCTGGGGCTCACAGATAATATCAGAAAGTACAATCTGGAGGTGGTATAGCAATACTTAGCTGGAGGTTGGCTCATCTGACCAGAAATAGAGAAAAAATTAATTGGTGTGGTAGAGCCTTTTGGGGGGGGGGCTATTTATTTAGCGTACAATGATGTACAATGTCAGGGAAATCTACAAATGCTAGACAAAGTGCAGTCCAGCAGTCTAATTGCTAGTTCATTCTGTTCGGCACTTGCGTGTCTATCCTTGGTGAACCGCAGGGGTTGAACTAGCTGACTTGCGTTGCTTGTGCTCCTGGCTCTTCTGGGCTCTTCCATCAGTCTCGCCTCACTTTGCCTTGTGTGGCATTGCTTCATGTCTGCCCAGGTCCAATGCCAGCTTCTGTTCTCCACACACACAAATGCAGCTACCCGTGTTTCCTTGAAAATAAGACCAGGTCTTATATTAATGTTTGCTCTATAAGACGCATTAGGGCTTATTTTCTGGTTAGGTCTTATTTTGGGGAAAATATGGTACTAAATGTGTCCATCTGGCTGACAATCTTAACTGGGGCTTATTTTGGGGGTAGGGCTTATATCACAAGCATCCTGAAAAACCACGCTAGGGCTTATTTTCTGGTTGGGTCTTATTTTCAGGGAAACACAGTATGTTTTTCCCATCAAAGTGGTACCTATTTATC